CACTTCTTTTCTTCTTTTTTTGTAGGCAATTCATTTTCCAGACTAAGGTCCCTGGGCATTTAATTTTCATTGGAAGCATCAAGAAAGAATCTAGGAATAAAAATGATTTATGAATTTATGACAGTGTCTACACAATCTAAAAAATTAATCAAAAGACTATATGGATTAATTGAACTAGACAATTGTTCTCATATAGACCAATTACTTATTTCTCCCCTTTCTAAATTGTTGTAACAGTGGGTGGTGATGTATCAGACAAAGACAAACTCAGGCATAAAATAAATAGTCTTCTATCAAATATCATTCATATGTTGGCAAATACTCATTCAACAAATTGTTACACTTTCAGCAAGTATCGGTCATCAAGAATCCATATATTTGGCCCCTTGCTCTTACAATGTCCCAGTGTTCAGTGTTGACCCTCTTTTCTTCTTCCAAAAGAATATACTCATTTGAAGATATCATCTGGCCTCATGGATTAATTACCATCTTTAAAATGATGATTTCCAAGTTTAAATATAAAGCCCAAACTTCTCCCCTGATCTCCAGATTTGTATAGCCAAACTTCTGCAAACACTTTCACTTGAATATATAATAGAATCGTAAACTACAATGCCCCACATTGACCATCTCCTAAAGCATGTTCTTCCACAGCATTCTCCACATTAGTTAGTGGAGATCCCACCCTTTCATTGCTCAGTCCCTCAGCCTTCATTAATCCATTATCTTTTTATTTCTCTTCTATTGCCTATCCAACCCACAGCAAACCCTACTGACCTATTTTGACATACACACAGACTCTGACCACGTTTTGCCACCTCCACTGCTCCTACTTGATCCAAATCATCATTTCTTTTCTAGATTCTCTCAAAGTCTTCCTAAATGGTCACCTTGCATCTTCCCTTCCTTCCTTTTATCCATTCTCTATGAATCAGTCATAATAAACCTGTTGAAATATGTCAAATCATGTTATTCCAAAGGCATCTTATGTAAATCAGAATAAAAGTCAAAATATGGTCTTTTAATATCGTCTACAAAGTCCTACTGAATTAGGCTCTATGTGACCACTTTGACCTCATTTCTTTTTTTTTTTAATTGAAGTATAGCTGATAATGTTATTTTATTATTAAAAGATAATAGTGATGTAATACGAAGAATGGATGGGATTTGGGAAAGCTGGAATTAAGAACATTGGATAAAATTTTATTGCTGTAATATAATAAGCAATGAAAGTGGACGAAATTAAGGCTCAGGGGAAGGCAATGGGAGACACAATTAGGCTGTGCTAACTCAATGCTAAATTACTGCGGCATTCAGCGCTGAGAACTTGAAAGGACAAGCAAGCTCACAAACTGTGGCCTGCAGTAACACCTGGCATCGGTATTGCATAGAATTTAGGAACAGCTGCTGCTAAGCATGGACAAATTCAATTTGTGTAAACATTTTGTATAAAACACCATCAACCTCAGAGAACTGACTACAGGCACATAGAAAAGTATGATGTTTTACACCCAATATGGTTGTGTTCAGTATGTTCACTCATTCATTCTCAAATATTTATGGAGCAGGAACAAGTGCCTGATACCCTTGTAGGGATGGTAGATAACAGCCATGAACAAAAATCCCTGCCCTCATGGAGATTATATTCCAGTGAGAAGAGATCAAAATAAACAGATGTCTACAGTAGTGTGTCAGATGGTGTCAAGTCCTATGGAAGGAAGCTACGCTGACAAACTTTGGAGCAAGACTTGGAGGTGAGGGATCCAGGCAGGCGGCTATTTGGCTATTGGAGCAGAGAGAAAATTCTCTGCCTATCATAACGTTTTCACTCAAAATACGGACCTGGTTTTAGGGCATCTTTTGTTTTAATCATGAAGGGTATATTTCTATCTGGCAAGGAGTGACCTGATTCCCTCTCAGGATCCCCCAGCTTCTCAGAGCAGCTTAGAGACAGATAATGGTCATGGGTGTGAACCAGGTCCTTCCCTGAAAGCGGCTGAGTCCTCTCCTGGACATGACCTATGGGAGCATCTCTCAGGCACAGCAGGCATGTCCACAACCCCATGTCTAGCCAACATCAGCTATGCCTTTATTTGGATGTTATTCTATTTTAAAATAAAAGTAGTTGCGTTTTTTTTTTCCTTTATAAATACAATGCATACAAATAATTTTAGGGGAAACAATAAAAAGTGTACAATTAAAATAAAAATCACTTGTTTTCCATCCATAGATAAGCACTGTTTCTATCTGAGGTCTTGATATTCCAATAACCCTTAGATGAGGAAGGGTGGGGCATAGCCCTTTAAATAAAGCAGGTGCCTTCCTTTTTGGGGGTTGAACAGAATTCCAATGCATGCATGTAACACTCAGTTCCCTTTCAGATGCCATACTCTTCCAGAGGTTACATGCTGCTTTTTAAGGAAAGATCCTCTATAGACCAGGCAGAGGTTGGAATATTCTATGACTGAATATTCTCTGTCTGTATATTCTGCCCATGTAGATACATATTTTCCTGGAGCATACAGTGACATAATTTGATTGGGGAAGACCTTTACCTGAGCCACTATAAATGGGAAATCTATTATTTATTTATTTATTCCTTTCTTTCTTTCTTTCCTTTTTTTGGGGGGGGTGGGGAGGGGAAGGGGCAGAGGGACTAGGAGAGAGAGAATCTTAAGCAGGCTCCTTGCTCATTGTGGATCCCGAGGGCAGGCTTGATCTCAGGACCCTGAGATCATGACTTGTGATGAAATCAAGAGGCAGACACTTAATTGACTGAGCCACTTAAGCGGCCCTGTAATTTATTTCTCTGAATAAAGAAATCTTCTGGGGATGCTAACATAAATTCAAAATATAAGGAATAAGACAAGTATACTTTACTGACAACACCACTGAGAAACGCTTAATGTCTCTGAGCCTCCAATTCATTTGTCCTCAGTTTCAAGGTCCTGTTCATCAGGACATTGATAATATCCACTTTTTTATATGTCAGTTTGTTAGTAAGAAAGATGGCATAAGTGAAAGTATCTTGTGACTGCAAAATGCCATACAAATGCAAGGTGTTATTAATTATTAAGACAGTCCTTTAGTGTCTTAAACCTCCTGTCTTAAACTCAACTCTTCAATGTTTGCATCTTTGAACTACAGGAACACAAATGGACCTGGAACTGTAGCATTAAACTACAGTGCCCCCTAGCCCATGTAGGAGGTCAGGACAGCTGATGAGCTTCATGAATAAGCTCTACCACAGATGGTTCCTT